CACTGCGCATGTCATGCCACCACACAGCTGACGATGCGCGCGCAGCTTTTCTCTTCTAAACACTTTTTGTTCTGCGGTGCCCTGCGCCGCCGCCATTGGAAAATTATAAATAAAGTTTTTTCTTTCTTCGCTGCGTGTTTTTTCGGTTTTCGGTTGGGAATTTTCAAATTTGAGAAAACCGAAACAGATTCAAATCTTCGTTTGTTGGCAGCAGAGTGTCGTCCGTGTTGCCCGCCGACATCAACCGTGTGGTCTGGTCGTCGTGGATTGTCGATTGTCGGATCGTCTTTTGGCCAGTGGTCTACCAAAACGTGTAACAACGGTACGCTGGGAGCATATCTTGCCTCTTGTATATATCTTTGTATATATGTACATAGGTATACATTGTATCTCGCTCTCTCGGTTTTATCGTTTCCTTTCGCGAACTTTGTTTATCTGTGTGATTGGGAATTGAATAAAGATATATAAAGTTATATATACTATGTATAATTCCTGTAAAGATATATATATACAAACCTATCAAGAAACGCATACAAAACTACAGAAAAAACGCAAAATTGAAACAATTGTTGGGCTTTAGAGGGCTACAACGTGACATAATACCAACAAAAATAAAAAAAAAAACTACGAAAATTTAAGTGTTTTAAAAATAAAATCGAAAACAGCAACAACATCAAAAGAAATATATAAAAAGTGTTAACAAAAAACCAAACGAATATCAATATACATATATGAGAGGCAAAATGTTTAATGGGGAAAGAAACACCCAGAAGTGCAGTGCAGAAAATCACACAACACAAACAGATTTTAATTGAATGAACTTTGCACTTTTCCAACAAAGTTTTGCAGATATTTTTTCTTTGGCCAAAAGGGGAGGGGCATAGATACAGACTAGTGCAACCGCATAGATAGAGATTGATGAGGCAGAAACAAATGAGAAATGAATGCAAAAGGAATCGAAACAAATGAGAAATGAATAAAGCAGGAGAGGAAGGAGGTGGAGGAGCAGCAGCAGCAGCAGCGGCCAAGCAAATCAAAACAAAAACTCAAAACTAACAAACACACAGCTACGAGAGAAGGAGAGAGAGAGAGAGAGGGAAATGAGATGAGAAACGGTACACAAAATGGAGCACACACGTGTATGAGTGTGTGCCATATACTTAGTATATATGTACATATATGTTCTGAATATATACTGTATATGCGCCACACAGATCAGCGGGGATTATTCATCAGGCTGATGCCTGCTGCCTGCCACATCACCATGATCATCATGATCATGGTGATCTTTGCTGCTGGTGCTGCTGCTGCCACAGAGCCTCTGTGTTCCTCCTTCTGTACATGTCGTCCCCCCTGTTCGTTTTTTCTATAATTTGTTCTCTATTGCTATTTTTGTAATGCTTGCATTTATATTTAGTGCCACAACAAAATTTATATAGCGAAAAATATACTCAAGATACAAAACATGTACAGACAGACGTTCACGAGTACATAATAATACCATACTTTTTGGACATTTGTACATGTGTTGAAAAACAGTCAACAGTGGGATAGAATTGTTTTTTGTTCCCTTAGTTTTGCCCATATATACATAATGTGTGTGGATTGTACAGTGAAAAACGTTTGAGAGAAACGCTCCAACGATCTCTAAAGATCAGGAGAAAAAAAAAAAAGATGAAACTAATTTAAAAATCCAATCAATGTGCAAACACTGCAATTATCACAGATCATAGATGCACCAAATGGAAATTATAAAGAGATCATCAGATCATTCACACCTCTGATAGAGTCTTCACTGTAAACAGGAGCGGGTTGGGGGGTACACTGGGCACCACTGGCGTCACACGTACTGTGTCTTGTGTACTACGTACGTATGATGCCTGGTCCGGTCCGGCGGCTGCGCCAATTTACGTGCGTCGTCGTCTATTTGTTAAAAATAAAAACCGATTTTCGAACAGAACACAAAACCGAACCCCAGCGAGATATCACACATTAGTAGGTCTAGAGATCGGCCAAAGATCTCCAGGGATCTCCGATATAGTATATGGATGATATGTATGTGGGGCAAGGTGTGTAGGGGTAGAGGGTAGAGAGATGCAGAAGAGAAGTCTTCTCATCTGTGAAGGCGGCGCCGCGATCAATGAGCTCATTGCTGTTTACGAATTGTAATTTTAAGGTATATAAATATATAGATATGTATATATGTATACCCAAACAAATGTACAGTGGCAGCTCCATGAGTAGGATCTAGATCAGGCGGTGGGAAGGCATTTTTGAATGTGGTAGCAGTCATATTTCCCTTATCCGCGAAACTCTAGTCGAGCAGCCAATAAACCCGTCATGCACACGACATTTATGTTGTTTTCTTTTTTCCCCATTCTCGGGCAGGGGGAAAAGCTTCACTGTATGTCTTACTATCTCTCTCTCTCTGAAAATTGGTGTAAACCAGAGCTGCTATATATTCAAATAAATCGGATGTGGTATATTTGGGGCGCCCAGAGGGAACACAGGGACACGGCGATCCGATCTGTTGGTCGATCACTGACGATCATTAGATCAATTAATAAGACAAGTCGTAAGGCGTTTGCCAAAATGCCAATGAGACATTGACATTGAGCGTACGAGATCCGTTCCGATCCGATTCGATTCGATTGTCGAGCAGCAGCCACAGGTTTCCTTTGTGGCCAGCGCCAGCTGCCTCGCGAGTCTCGTCCAAGTAGTCGATCGAACGCTATCCAACGCAGTCCGTGGGAAATCGAACGAAATCGACCGCCAGTGAAAGATTAGGTAACAGAAGAATTCCCATTCTTTTTTTTTATTCGCTGTACACCCGAAGAAGCACCCACCACGAGAGCACACTGGACCAAGAGTCAAGCAAAGTCAGAGCCACCGCCAGCCACAGGCAGAAGAATGTCAAACGAACTAAGCGAAATGATCGCCCTCGGGTGTCCGGATCTTACGTCCAAGAACGAGCTGATCCTCAACACGGAGCGGCGTCTCAGCATCAAGCAGATGACGGCCACAGATTTGTCCAATCTTCGGGCCGCAGCCGCTGCCGAGGCTGTGGCCCAGGCCCGAGCCCAGGCCGAAACAGAGGCAAGAGCCATTGCCGAGGAACAGGTGCGCTTGGCACATGCCGCCGAGATCAAGGCCAGAGCACGGGCCGCCCTTGAGGTGCAGGCACAGCTGCAGCGGGTCATGGAGAGCGAGAAGCGCAGGCAGCACGAAAAAGAGGAGAGGGAACAGCAGCAGGACAATGAGGAGGAGGAGGAGGAGAATGAGCCCGGGCTGGGTAAGGGCTCGCTGCCCCCAAATGCCGCACCACGCGATCGTCTCAGTTCGCTGCCCAATGAGCTGGACGATGGTGAGGATCAGGGCACCTCCAAGGAGTCCTCCCCCGAGAAGAGCAACTCTCACCTGGCCGACTCCATTGAACTGCTGCGCATGCAGCGTGCGGCACGCGACGTCCGCTCCAATCGCAACAGAGAGCGCTCCATATCGCCAGAGGAGAGGAATCGCGAGCGCAGCCTTGCCCCCGATCGGCTCCAGAGTTCGGCGAGCCTGAGCAGCATCGATTCGACCAGCGTCAGTGTCAGTGCCTCGGCTTCCAAGGCGACCAGCCGTCGGGGCAGCACCTCCAGTGCGGCCAACGAGCCCGCGGCTGTATCTTCAGGGCTCGTGGCACCCAATTCAACAACAAAGTTTCCGCTCACGAAAACTGTGTCGGCACCCAACATGATGAATCGCCGTCGCAGCAGCCTGACGGCGCTCTTTCCGGGACCCTCGCCCCTGGTCGCACCCGAGCCCTCGCTCCACACCAATCCACAGCCAGTGCCAGAGTCACAGTCACAACAGCCCGAGGAGGAAGTGCGTGACGTGCCCAGGTTGATGATTCGCAGAAGGACACCGCCGCCCGTGGGGGCCAATCTGGGTGTGAATCTGAAACGGGTCACCGCACCCAGTGGCTCCGTTACCATTAAACCAAAAGAGTCACCCATGCTGGGGGTAGTTCTGCGGAAAGTGGAAAAGAAAATTGTGGCCCAGAAGAGCATCCTGGACGATGACAAGCCACTGTATCACTTCTCCATTGTGCGCAGCGATCACAAGGAGCATGTGCCGGCTCAGAAGCCGCTGCCAAAGCCCGCACCGGCCGCCGCAAAGCCCAGTCCCGGTGGCATCCTCACAGGCCCACAGGTGGTACGGACCACAAGGCAACCAGTGCCCGTGAAGCCGCAGCGTCCACAGATGGGTGTGCCCATCACCATCACGAAGATCCAGGGCGACAAGATCATTATAATCAAAAAGATCATTGTGCCGAAGAACAGTAAGATACCGGAGCAGTATCTACAGGTTGGTGCCAACGATCCTCCTCATGGTGCTCGTCTCGTCGTGATTGCTCTGTGGTGTGCTGTTCGGTGTCTCGTCTCTGTGGTTCCCCGTTCCCCGTCTAGTTTCGTCTCTCCCTATTTTCTGTGTTCTGTTTGAAAACTATTTAGACTAAGAGTTTACCTCGATTGTTGCTACTCTCTCGATCATTCAAACAATCATGCACACACACGCACACACAAGCAAGAACCTGCAAGAAATGCAGATGGGATGCTATAGGATTTAGGTCTCATCAATGGGTAGATTCAGTGGGATAAGGATTGGTTGCCATTTAATTAATCCGATCCACTCGGTATGTTCCCATAAGAGTGTGGACTGAATGGCCATTCACGCCTGAACATAGAATATTTTTCCCCTAAACGAAAAGTCCCCTAGACTCACTCCGCACGAGTGGCACGAATAACCCTTCACCACTGCCAGTCACGAGTGAATGTAGAATGATATAGCACATAGAATTTGAATTTAATCGAACTTAGGTATTATCTAACATCATATCTAGTTCTTGTAGTGGCTTAAGGTAAAGGAGGGATTGTTCCCCTATGTAGTTCTCTCTCTCGGCAATCTCTATCTCTGCAAGGGTTTAACCTATCTGTACTATACCGAAAATATTCAAGTGGAAAGCTGTAATAAAAGTCAAAGCAAGGCAGAATAAAAGCTGGTAATAATTGATTTACTGCCAAAAGCAAATAAACATAAACATAAACAAAAGCAAATCCCACGCGACTTGTAAACGATTTAAAAGTAGAACCTAAATGAGTGAAGATGTTGCTAGCCAGACGACATCCTCCGCAGTTGCAGTGCCACCAACACAAAGCCCCTCAAAGCCAAGCCCCAGCCCAGTCCCAATCCCAACGACTATCGCGGCTACACTGAGATCCAGGGAGGAGTGTTCCAGAGAATCTCTGCCACCAGCCAGCAGCATGCAGCAGGCGGCAGCTCCTCCGAAAGCCACACCCACGCCACCGGCGAGCGGGCAGCAGTTCTTTCAGCAGGTGGTCTCCCCACAGTTTGCATCGGTGCTGTCGTCCAGCATACCGGAGACCAAGTGCGCGGTGCGGTCGCCCATCTCCTCGCCGTTGGCCATCCGCAAGAATCGGCCCCTGCTGCCGGCGAGTCCCAAGTCGACGCCGCCGCTGCCACGGAAGCATCATCCGTTGGCCTACAATGCGGCCACGGGGACAATCAGCTCCTCCGGCACGGCGCTGCCGGCACGCCTAATGGCCACAATTGCCTCGAGTCCCGCCTCGAGCATCTCGCTGTCGTCCTCCTCATCGCCATCGTCATCGCCACCGCCACCAGTGCCGTGTCGGGCGCCCAAGAAGCAGCCGCTTCCTGCTTCGGCGGGGTCTGCAGCTCCATCTGCGGCTGCCACGGAGATCAGTCTGGATAAGCTGCTGAAGCAGCAGCAGGAGCTGCAGGAGAAGTCGGCGGCGGCCACGAACAGCGCCAAGCTGGATGCCAATTTCTACGATGCTGAGATCGAGATGATGAACAAGTATCTGAAGAGTTTGCCGGACTACAGCGAGCTGGACAGGAAGCTGCACCAGGAGTTCCAGGAGTGCGAGGATCTCTACGATCGCCTGAAGCGACAGCAACAGCCGCTGGCCAAGTCCAACTCGCAGCAATCGGTAAAAACCACTCCGGTGGGTCCAGCACCAGCAGCAGCAGCAGCTGGCTCCTTTGGATCATCCTCCTCCTCCTCCATGGGTCCACTGTCCAAGTCCTCGTCCATCAACTTTGCCCAGAATCCCAGGGCACAGCAGCAGCAGCCGCCCCTCCGCCTGGCATATCCCTCGATCTTTTCGCAGAACGGAGGGGAGCCCAAGCTGCAGCGCAGCATCTCCAGCTCCAATATGCCCCAGAATGTCAATCCCTTTCGTCCGCTGCCCGGCAAGAACTGCCTGCAGAGCGGCTCGAATCTGTCGCTGAACAAGCAGCTGATGAACGACTTCTGGAGCGAAAACCTCAATGGTGGTGGTGCTGGTGGCGTTGGCGGCGGCGGCTCTCAGAAGCGGCAGACGCCAAAGCGGACTTTTTGGAACTACGAGAAGATCTGCGGCGCACAGCTGGGGGATGCGGGACAGCCCTTCAAGGTGGACGCCAAGACGGCCAAGAAGTTGGCCATCTTTGATCCCACTGTGGCGGAGGCGGCGCAAAAGGAGCTGCAGCGACCACAGCAGGCGCCACATGCCCACAAGCTGCAGAAGAACGCCTCGCTGTCGCATCTGGATCTGAAGGTGCGCCAGGCCGTCACCAAGGATGATCTCTATAAGCTCATATGCAATGAGCAGCCACGGTCGCCCGCCACGAATGGGAATCCGAGTGGGAATGGGACACCATTTGTCAGTCGAGTACCCGTCAAGCAGCAGCAGCAGCAACAGCAGCAGATGCCACTGCAACAGCAGCCGCAGCAGGCACTGCCCAAGAGTGTGTCCATGAGCCATGTCCCAGGCGCAGGTCTGCAGCGCACCACCAGCCGCACCCACATACCCTGCTACATGAAGAACTTGCCATCGCTGAGCAGAAGCACCTCCAATTCAGCGATACTCATGTCGCAGTCTCAACGGAAAGAGGCGCCACCTCCTTTGGCCAAGCAGCAACCTGCTGCTGCTGTTCCTTCAATTGCTGTGGCCAAGAGCTCCAGCAGCTCCTGTGTGCCCTCCCCACGCTGTGCCGCTGCATTCTTTCGACGCCCCCAAGAGGCAGCCACACCCTCCTCCATACAGCAGCAACAGCAACTGCAGCAACAGGTGGAGACGTCATCGGCAGGCGGCGGCGGTGATTCGGCATCGCTGGAGCGAAAGTCGGAGAAGAGCAATAGTACGATCAGTACGAGCAGCTTTACGGTCACCAATTGCTGCACCACACATCTGCCGCAGCTCTCAAAGTTCACCTCCTCGTTCCACATTGCCCCATCGACGACGACAAATGCCACGGCAACAACAGCAACAACCTCACAGCAGCAGCAGCTACAAAGTGAACAACAGCCACAAAGTACCGCAGCAGCAGGGGCAGGGGCATCATCATCTTCGATGGCTGCCAACATCATCTCAGAGATGCCAACAACAACAACAGGAGCAGCAGCAGCCGCAACGGCAGCCACAAAGCGCCAGAAAGATGTCGAGAACAAGCTAGAGAAATGCCTGAACGACATGCTAAAGTTGAAGAGCAGCAGCAACAGCATCATGTCGCAGTCGCTGACAGCAGCAGCAGGAGGTGGAGGAGAGCAACAGCAGCAGCACAAAGACCCGAAGATCACGGGGGCAACCGTTGGCGAAGGCCCCACGAACGCCAGCAGCAGCAGCGGCAGCGCCAGTGGCGGGAACAAATATGGGGGCGAATCGCAGATACCCGTGCCAGTGCAGCTTTACGACCCGCAGAAGCCGTTGATGCAACAACAGCAGCAGCAGCAGCGGATCTGCTATCCCATTGGAAAGTCCAATTCTACCTCACAGCTACCAATGGGTGGCTATCAGCGATTGTTGCAACAGCAACATTTACAGCAGCAGCAGCAGCAACAACAGCAACAACTGGAACAACAACAGCAGCAATATCCACAGCATAAACGTCCCTTCCTGAACTGGAACACTTTTGCCTGCTCGGCCATGAATGGATCCAGTGATCCCTTTATGCAGCAACAGCAACATATGTACCCGCAACAGCAGCAACATCTCCCCCACAAGCTGCAGCAATCGTACTCATCCTCCCATGTGGCAGCGGCATCCAAGCAAACGCCCAAGTCCGGCCTGGCTTTATTTCTGCAGAAGAATACCAATAAGGAGAACAAATTTGGGCAGCAGCAGCAACAGCAACCATCGCTCCAGCCACCTCCTGGCATGATGCCTCAAATGTATGGCGCCTACCAGGCGCCTCAACCGCAACCTGCCTCCAAACTGAGTTATCCTCACTCTGGGGTCGGCGGCCCCCTGACGCACTCTGTCTCGTTTAGCTCTGCCCAGCGACCCACAGCCATGCAGCAGCAGCAGCAGCAGTTCCACCATCAGCAGCAACACCAACAGCAACAGCAGCAATATCCGCCACATTCCAACTTTGGCCTGGGGATGATGAGTCGCAATTACTATAATCTCCCCAAGCAGCAGCAACAGCAGCAGGAGCGCAAGCCACTGCAGACCTTTGATCCGTATGCCTATCCCAAGCCGAATCAGATGCAGTCGTCGGTCAACAAGTACCAGCAACAACAGCAGCAGCAGCAGCCGCAGCCAACGCATCCGCATACGCAGCAGAAGCAATTTCTCAATGCTTCCGTTGGGGTTGGGGTAGGAGCAGCGACAGGGGGAGGTGCCGTAGCAGCCGCCGTCGCTGGGCTTCAATATGATCCAAATACAAATACGCAATTGTATTACGCGTCACCATCGTCATCGTCAACGGCGGGCATGCAACCGCAACAACAGCCACCGCAACAGCAGCAGCAACAACAGCAGCAACAGCAGTTGCAACAAAGCAATTCTGTCATATTCAATCACTCAAATCAACAACAGCAACCACACCATCTACAACAACAACAACAACAGGCACCACAATTACACCAACAACAGCAACAACAAAATGAAATGTCCAAATCCGCATTGGGATTGCACTTTATCGAGGTAGATTCTACATAGATATATGTATTCCACAAATCATACATATTTAGTGTTTTTTTTTTCTTTGTGTGTGTATTTTTTGTTGCACTACTAACAGCATACTGCTTGCCCCCTGCCACTGCTACACAGCTATCCTTCCCCATATTCAAGAACTTGCCACATAAATAACCAGATGACTCATTGACTCGGTGCGATGAGCTTCTCCAAAAAAAGGCCTCTGACGAAGAACATGATGATGTTAATGTTGATGATGATTCCCATTTCCATTCCCTTTGCCTTTGGCTTTGCCGTTGCCTTTTCTATGGCCCCCAGTGTCTGTCTGTATGTACTTCCTGTACTTTTGGTGGCCTTTCAAGTGTGAAACAGCCACAGCCCCCAAAAACACCTCCCTGATGATGGGGCGCTCTTTGCTTTGCTCTTGGCAGCAGACTCTTGCACCTAAACCATTGCACAATCGACAGACTGAAAGCTAAGGAAAAAAAAGGGGGAAATTCAATGTCAATTTCCTTTGGGGGCTGCTCTCTATAAATAGTTAGCGCGGCGGCCACTTAATTTATTGTCTGTTTATTTGGTTGCCATAATATTTTTTTGTTTTTGGCTAATCTTTTAACTGCTTGATGATGCTGCCACTGCCGCTGACGCTTCTGCTGATGCCGCTGCTGCTGGTTTATTGTTTAAATATTGCCAAACTGTATGTAATTGTTTTAATAACTAAACAACAAAAATTAACATTAAACATTTCGCGGAACGGAACGCGTTTTTAGAAGAGAACAATTTTGTTGTCTAAAAATATGTAACACCAGATGGTAGATGCGATCTCTTGCACGCTCGCTCTCCCCGAACTGCCGCTCTCTTCTCTCTCTCTCCCTCCCTCTATACGACTCTTGAATGCTCTTACTACCCAGGAACTTCACTAACGAATGGCCCTGTCTGTGACTCACTTTTTTAATGTAAAACTTTGAAGAGGGAAGTGCTCAAAAAGTAAGGGTATTCCTACTACTCGTGCTGATGATTCTTCTCCTGGCTAGTTTTTCGGTTATTTTTCTTCTGCAGCAAACAATAATAGAAACCACGGGAAGAGGAGGCCTCAACCACAGCCACACACTCAGTTCTCAGCCGCACAGCTCTCCCGCACGGACGGTTTTTCGCCTTCGCCTTTGCCTCAGCCTCAGCCAGCAGCAGCTACTTTCGACTCTGACATCGGCGATATTTTCAATCTTTATAATTAGTATTTGTGGCGTGCGCTTTCGTTGATGTTGCGCTGATTTCGGTTTTTGTTTGTTTTCTTCTTCGACCAAATGCTCCGGGGAATCGGTGACGTTCCCTCCGAAATCTCCTAAAATTCTCGGATAAATAAATGGCTCAAAGTGCGTGTGTTTCCCCAAAAATTCCAACTTAAAGTGCAAATGCAATTGAATGGAATTTGTAAATAGATTTTGTAATTGTCGCTGATCTGAACTGATCTGAACAGTGGATCCGTGGGGGCGACTGCTTCTTCTGTTGTGTGTCTATTTCCGTCGAAGCTGCCGCAAAAATCTCTTACAATTTCAATTATTTTTACACATAAATCCGCTCCGCTCTCCGATCCGCTCTGTCTATACTATAGATATATACTATATAGTATATACATATATATATATTATAATACCATCATATCTACAAGAAAAACACCCGCTCTCTCTATAAACAGCACAACAAAATACCAGAAATTAAAACAATTAATAAAATAGACAGAAGAACGAACCCCCTCGATCGATTCCTACTCTCGGTATTTAAGTATTATCCGGATTGTCGTCATCCGCCGGATGAGAGTGAGAGAGACGACGACCCACGCAGAAACCAATACACAGGGAAAAGTGGCTGCCAATATGGCCACATTTCTGAATCGTTTTCATCGCGATAAAAGCGAAAAGATTTTGCCAAATTCAAATGAAAATCGAAAAACAGCTGATGGCGAGGCGACGACAACGCAGCAGCAGCAGCCGCAGCCGCCGCGACAGCAACGGCGGTACATGAGGAGCGCTACCGCTGCCAGCGTCACACAGCTGCTCTCTGAAAGCTGCAACAGTCTGCTGCAGCGCTTTCGACGCAATCCAAGCGAACGACCTGATAATAAACAACAGAATCCACAGCAACAACAACAACAACAGAAACAGAATCCACAGCAGAACCAACGACAACAGCAACAACGATGCAACAGCAATCGGTAATCGATGCAAAAGGAAATGAAGCAAAATAAATTTTATAATTTATTTTTAATTTTGCCTTCTTCTTTTTGCTTTCCTTTCGTCGAAAAATAAACCAACAACAAAACTCGGTCAAAATTCTCTGTCGGCGGCGATCATCATTTATTCATTCTCCTTCTCTATTTTCACTTGAGTTTATTTTCATTTGAATTTCCTCGGCGGTGCCTGATCGGCGTTGATTTGCGGCAGAGTGGTCGTTGTCGACGCGTAATTACGAGTTTTAGTTGCAGCGCAGCCGCCTCGCTCGCATCGCGATACAGACATTAGCCACAATCTTCTTTCGGCCAAAATCATCCTCCTCCTCGTCAGCGGAGAAGGCCAATTATGTAAACGTTTCGAGTGCGTTTTTAATCGCGTTGAACTTCGCGCCTTTCCGCTCGTCAAACTCTTAGTAGTTCCAGTGTGAAAATGGAGGAATACATTTCTATGCACTTCCATTAGTTCCAGTGTAAAAGCCGCTGCTCTCCCCCTCCTTACGCGCCAGTAATCGTGCAAGAAAGTGTGAAAAATATTGCCATAAATCAAATCAACAATAAATGCCATTAAAGTGTACTAATTTCAATTGAATTTTGATCTATCATATTCATTGAGATTATGGCAGTCATAAATCAAGCAAAGCGTCAGTGCTGTGATCCTGCAAGAGTTTTTCCTTTTGAATTTGTTCATTTAGAGAAGAGTGTGCCATAGATCTAGGAAAAAGCATGTTGTGGGAGGAGTATTTACTCCCCCACATAACCGATCAATGGGAGTAGAAAAATATTATCTCCAGTATATTTTTCTCCTAAGCTTTTGATCGCACAAAAGTTTGGCCAAACACACAGCGTTGCGGTACAGCGCAACCAAAAGCAAAGCTCCCGAAGAGCTTCTGCAGCCTCTCGCTGTTTCTTTCGTTCGATCTCTCTTCTGGTAGAACTTTTGAATAACCGTTTGAAAAAGCATTCACTTAGCTTCCGCTCTCTCTCTCTCTCTCTTTGTTTAATGCAATTACTCCTTTATTATTTATATTTATATGCGAGCGCGCACGTTTAAAATAAAACGTAAATTGTGTATTACGCTTTGTTCTTTTTTTTTTTCTTTTCATTATTTTTTTTTCTTGAACAACACAGAACTTTTATTGCTCGCTCGTTGCGTTCCATCCGCAAGGCAAGAGTTCAAGGCTTTTCTTGTGAAAAGCGCTCCCCTCTCCCTCCCTTGCGCTTCACTTTCGATCGTTTCCCTGTTTTGCTGTGCGCAAGCTGACGGAAATGTATTTATTTTACAATTTACAAAAATGGAATGGAATGCATTCTGAATGAAGCGTGTGCGTATGCGTGATTCGCGTGCCTTTTAAACCGCGCGCACAGCTGGCAAACAAAAGAACAGTTCCTCCTCATCACTATCCACCCACTCGTCTACATATGTTATCTGCTCTTGTCTCTTACACTCTTCTTGGGTCTCTCTCTTGCTCTTTTGCTCTCTTGGTCTCTGTCTGGCGCGCAAGTGCGCAATATTTTCACACTTTTCACCAAAAATAAAAACGATTCCTCAATATTTTCATTTTCTTGTGAATGCCTCGCATTTCCTTCATCTGCTTCTCGGTCTCTTTTTGGTCGTCGCATGAATTTTCCGAAAATTTTCCTCAGTTAATTTTTGGTCCGTGTCGTGGCAGCGCGTCCCGTCCGAGAGCCGAGCCGTTCGTCGCGAGCCCGTCCGTTCGTCGCGTGGAAAACGAAAGAAAAGCAAAGAAAAAGAAAGCAATAGGAAAATCCGATCCCATCCCCCCCTTAATGCCAAGCCCAGCCGAATCTGAAAACTGTTTGGGATCGATCTCTCCCTGAATTATAGAGCGGCAGCCGCCATAGTCGAGGAGGATACCAAAGATAGCAGCAGCAGCAACGATCCAATACCAGGACGCAGGAGCGCCTCTAAGACTCCCACGAATGACAGCAACAACAACAGCAAAAGCAAGACAAATCCCTCACTCAAGCAAAGCAAACGTCGCCGCAGCTCGGATAAGTCATCCACCTCCTCCAGTCGGAGACACCAGGAAGGGGAAAGGGAACGGGAACGGGATAACGCCATGAGCGATCGCCACAGACGTTACTATCCAGGCGGCGGACTGGGCTACCACCCCACCAGCAGCAGTGGGAGTGGGAGTGGCAGCAGCACCGCCGCCATCATGGGTCGCTACCAGAAGAGCTCCACCACAGCGAACGCCCTGGACAGACTGCGCACACACCTCAGTCCCGTGGGCGGCTACTACAAGCCGCTGATACGCGGCCTAGGGGGTGGCCGGCGGGACAGGGATCTGGATGATGTTAGTATCGAATCCATAAAGAATCCAAGAAAGAGCTACAGAGCGGTGTGCAAACCAATGGATGCGACCGGACCCCAGCCAGCCAGCCAACCAGCCAGACACATGACTCACCTGTTGGGCATCTCATATTTTGGAATACTTCTGCAGAAGAGAGAGAGAGAGAGATCTTCTCACCTGTCCATGACTCAGAGTCAGACCTAAATCTTTGACAACTGCTTGTACCTCTGGTAACCTCTGTCGAGTAAATATTGTAAATTTTTTATATAGAAACAACAGTGTTGCTGCTGCAGTGCAGTGGCAACTGGCAACCCCCATTCATTGCCACACATATAGAAAGTTTTCCCTCGCGTATAGAGACTGACAGATAGATATACATATACGTGTAGCTATCGGAACCCACACGGTCTGCGTTTTATAGCGAGCGTGTTCCTATATAAGCCTCCCCGATATACCTTCTCTATATCTCACAGATTCATTCTGTGCCGTGTGCGTTTTGCGTTTGCGTTTACGTTTGTCGAATTTATTTTCGATTCCAACAGCCGCTGGCACTGCCACTGCTATATAGGAAGATATATGCATGTATTTTGGGCATGTCTAGTCTGTGTATCTCTTTCTCTGAGCTCTCTCAGATGTGTGTATAATTTTCTCGATTTTTTCTTCTGGCATTTTATATACAAATATAAGTATAAACTTTGAAGGTCGCGTCGCGCCGTGGACGTTTTTTGTTTAGATTTTTTTCGCTTAAGGCATTTCAAATGAAAATAAAGGGTATCTCCTTAGGCCACAAGCTCCACGCTCTCTCTCTGCTGTCACTCTGCGTGCGTGCATGCCCCTTTTTCATGCCACAGACCAGAGAGAGAGAAAGCCCCCACTTTAATGGCAGTGCGAAATGAAAAGGCCCCCGAAAACACCATAATTAGCCATTGCCGAAAAGGCCGTTTAAATGGTTCCAAGTCCCAACATTTGGCTCACAGTGCGCGACGCGACTCTTGTCTCTGGGTCTCGGGGTTTTGGGTCTAGGTCTGGCTGCCGTCTGGGGTCTGGCTACTGGCGTGGCGTCTACCGTTTGTCGTTTGGCACTTCTTTTGTGGAGCGTGTGCTCCGCAGACAGAGCGTAAATAGTGTTTTAACGCCCGTCGTTACCGTTGGTTTCACACGAGCGCCGCTCTTAAGCACTTTCCCTCTCCATTAACCATTTAATCCGCCCGTTTGAAACCGTATCTAAATCCAACTTGTTGGCTTCTCCCTCCGTCTGGGTTTTCTCTTTGTGTGTGACGCACAGCGTCGGGATTTGGTACTGGACAAAGATAAAACGCCCACCTTCAGCACAGCGGGATCGGGAGTTGGCAAGCAGTCGGCCATCTCCCGCCTGGAGAATAAATATTCGGACATACTGGAGCGTACGGCTGGGCGACGTCGCCATGAGGAGGATCGCGACAAGACCCTGGAGCCGGATGATTACGGTGCCAGCAGTGGGCTGATGCGTTCGGCCACTGCCCACCAGTTGGCCAAATCGAAGCTCTCATCGAGCTCCTTCAATGCCGCCGATCGCAAGGAGCGAACGCCGTACCGCACGAGGGCGCAGCGGCAGCGCGTCGGCTACATGGCCGACTCCAACGACAGTGGCTACCTGACCAGCGGCAATCGGTTGCTGGACGACAACTACCCGGTGGACTACAGCAGTCGGTATGACTACCACGATGCCCTGCGTCTGGGCGGTGCCTCGGGCTACCCCTCCAGCCGCTACGGCCGGCGAGGAGGAGGCGAAGAAGAGCCGACAGCAACAGCAGCACCATTTGGGGGCCGCACGAGTCGCGCCTACGGCCGGAACAAGACAAACGAGAATCTGCTGGCCGCCGAGATAATGGAGAGCGGTCGACAAGCGGCAGCGGCATCCATGGAGGATCGTCCGCTGAATTCGAGGAATCGTTTCGCCCACCGCCGCAAGGAGCAGCCCCCGCCCGAACTGACGGCCGAAGAGCGTGAGATCCTGGCCGACGATCGCTCCTCGGAGGACAATGCAGCCATTCTGATGCTCTTGCGGGAGGACAATCAGTTCCTGGAGGCCAAGAAGTTTGAGGAGCGCATGCGCAAGCGCCGCGAGCTGCGGGAACGTGTCAAGCGCGAGGAGGAAGCGGCCGCGGAGGCCAAGAAGACTGAAGCAGCGGCCGCCTTGGAGCAAGAAGCCATTGCCAAAGCAAAGGAGGCAGCAGCAACAGCAGCGGCAGCAGCAGCAGTGGCGGCGGCTGTCCTGGAGGTGCCAAAGGAGGAGGCGGCACCCAAGAAGAAGTCGCGCAGCAAAAAAGTAACTACAGACGACAGCGATGATGGTGACAGTGGCTCCTCCAGCACGTCGGAGAGTAGCTCTGACGAGGTTGATGGCGATACAGAAACCGAAAGCACCACCGATTCGGCGACTGGTGTGAAACTAACCCACACAACATGCAACACAGCCATCTCCAGCACAACAGACAAGGCCAACACTCCTCCTCCTACCTCTGTCAATGGCACTACTAGAACTACTCCTCCATTAGCCACCACCACCACCACACCATCCACTAGCACTTCTGGTCCACTCTCCACTAACAACCACTCTCTGCCACACACGGCGGCAGCGGCAGCAGCAGCACCAACAACAGCAACAGCACAAGCAGCAGCAGCAACAGTTGGCTCGAGCATCACCAACAAGAGCCGCTTTCTGCCCCTCCACTCCTCAGATCGCAATAACAATGACCTGTCCAAATACAAGCCCACAAGCAACCTCCTGACGCACTCGTCCAGCTCCGGAGCTTTGGCCTTTGGCGGTATCGGAGCGCGACTGGCGGCAGCGGATGCGCGTCGCCAGCAGCAGAGATACCAGGGCGCCAGCTCCCGCACCGCTGCTGTGCTTAGCGAATTCGATCGCTACAAGCCCAGCCTGGGATCGGTTTCCGGTTCCAGTTACCTTCCCGATCCGTACGGCAGCAGCAGCAGCAGTCGGAGGACGAATGGTCTGGCGTCGGGCAGCTCGCTCTATCAGCGGCCCCACCTGGATGCCTACCACCAGCAGCAGCAGCAGCAATCCTCAGCCTCGTCGCACTATCTGCAGCAGCAGCAGCAGGATCACTACCTGCTGTCGAAGAGCGCCACCTCGTCGGCGCTGTTCCACAGGTCACGCATTCCAAAGACACTCTCGACCTTTGTAAGCAGACGTTGTAAAACACCCCCGCCCCATACCGTCTTTTCGATGATGCAGCTTCGTTGAGCTTTGTTTGCGCCGACTGCCCCTAACTGCAACTGCAACTGCTATCCCTCAAACTCAAACCAGTCCCAGCCCCTTTCAAAACTACTCGCCTTTAAACAGACTTACAGATCAATCAACTAACATCCTAGTGGATCCCAGTGGATCGTGTTCTTGTTGAATGTTGAACTAACAGAGAAACATGTTTTGCATGCAACTAAAACTAAAACCAGGAATACAAACGTAAGAGAACAATACAAAAATAACCCTGAACACACAACACCCAACTGATTTATAAACGTAAACCAATCTATAAGGTTAGATAACTATTAACGAAGCATACAAGAAACCTTAAACCTTAAACCTGAACATGACTTACAAACGTAGCAAAACTACTATCAGCTTTTATCGATCTTTAAACTGATGCTTTATCAATGTATCATATCCGTATCAACAGAGATTGATTGATGAGACAGACAATCAATCGCCTTCTGCCACTTATTGCAATAATTTTTTTACATTGGCCGCCTTGCCAAAATCAACATCAGTGTTGAACAACGCATATAAACTCTACTACTAAGAGTACTGTGACCCCGAAACCGACTTATAAACTGACGAGATCTTTAACGAAACACATTCCAGCACTTTATTTGTTCTTTTACCAAAAGAAAAATCTTCTTCCCAAAAATAAGCTTTAAATATAATAAACAAATATAAAACCGGAAATATTGAAAGGTTTTATGTTGATTTTTTGATTGCCCAATACACAGACACACCCACACACACACACACAGAATAAAGATGAAAGTTTCTATATAAACACACATCTTTATATATAGAACTAAATACATATATATATATATATATATATATATATGAAGCGTTATGTATGCCATATGCGTTATATTTATATTTGACATATTTTATGATCTTTGTTGTACTTGTTTTGTTGTTGAATATTAACCATTTTTGAAAAACACAAATCTCAAAAAAAAAAAAAATTTGTCCGAACTAATTTTCTTATCGAACAAACGAAACGTATTTTTCTCGTGTTTTTTCTGAATATGATGATGTAAATCACAATGATGATGATGATGATGATGGGGTTTATGATGATGATGTGCGCTCTCAACATGATGATAATGGATGATGATAATCGATGATGGATTGATTGGATGATTGGATTTGGTTGGTCTCTGTGGGATATTTACAATGGATGTAAATGTGGATGGTAATGCGATTGCTGTCAACGCTGTGGTGCCAACGCTGGATCTTCATCGTCCTGTGGATCTTTTTGGACTATATTGATTGGCCCTGTGAACGACCGACTATCTGTGGACCCCACCTGCTCCTGCTGGACAATCGGATCGCATCGAATATATATATATCTATTTTTGTTTCTTTTTTCTCTTTCTTTTTTTGTTTCTTTTTCTCTCTTTCAAATTACATACTTATTGCCACACACGCACACACAACGCACTCTCTGTGTACGCGTCTGTATCTGCCACCCACCGATCTGCCACTGCCACATCAACAACAACAACAACGCCCCCTCGCCCCGCCTTGCAACAACCCACTACCAAATTCGCTCGCAAATGCTCCTCGTCTGCTCCGCCGTCGTTTCGCTACTTTTCAACGGATCAACGAATGTACCACCCATCAATGCAATGCAATCGCCATCGCCATCCAATGCCACCACCAACCAAACACCTGCACCAACGACAACAACTACTGCGCTACTGCAACAACAACCACGTCCACGTCGTCGTCGTCGATTGCTCCTCCGCTCCTCGAATGCTCGCTTGCCCAAACAGACAGCCAAGCCCGTCATCCAAGATGATGCTGATGGTCACTTAATTTACCACACCGGAGACATTCTCCACCACAGATGTTCGTGACAATTTTTTGTTTTTAATTTTCCTTCCATATTTATGTTTAGAAAAAAAAAAAGAAAAGAAAAACACTCCATAGCCAAAGTTAAAGCCAAAAAAAAAAGAAACAAAAAAAAGAAAAAAAAGAAGAAATAACCAAAGAAAAGCAAAACAAAAGGCTATTTCTACTCCTACTCTCTTCTCTACTCGTAACGCTCTTATTAGTTCAAACTCTTTCCATGTTTTCTTTATTATTTGTTAATTATCCAGACACACACAAACACCAACAGAAAGGTCGGAAAATCGCGTCGCGTCGCATTGAAATTTTTCACACAATTTTCGCCCGTTACTGTTACTTCCTTTTTAAACAATTTGTCTTTGAATTAAACTTTTGTCTCAAACTAAATTTTTTCCCCCCATTTGGAGAAAACTTTCGCTCGCGCACCGCCGCCGCAACCAAATAATAATTAACGAAATAATATTGAAAATGAAAACAAAACTCAAACTCATTTGCGCACACTTTGCTTAGAGTCCTCCGATTCGGTTATTGGGTGTAGACCAAACCTCATCGTATGATTCAGTATTCCGTATTTAGTTACAAGTTACTACAGGTCTAGCTTTAGAACAGACAGTACTACTAACTATCGTTTAACACCAACCACTCTTGATGCAATTGGCTGAGACACTACTACAAAATCGCCTTCCTTTTGCCAAATTTCAGATAAGATCATGGCCACACTCGGCGAGGGCACCTTCGGACGTGTGGTCAAGGTCAAAGACATGGAGCGGTAAGTCAAAGTTTCCAGCGATTCTCTAGCCCCGTAACTAATGCAAGACTTCTACCCTTTAACTGCCTTTTCAGTGATTACTGCATGGCCTTAAAGATTATTAAGAATGTGGAAAAGTATCGCGAAGCTGCCAAGCTGGAGATCAACGCCTTGGAGAAGATTGCACAAAAGGATCCGCATTGTGATCAGTGAGTCTGCTGCAATGATATCTCTAGCTGTCTGATCAATCAACTAATATGGTATATTTCTCTCTCCATTGTACAGCTTGTGCGTGAAAATGGTTGACTGGTTTGATTACCATGGACATATGTGCATAGTTTTTGAAATGTTGGGTCTAAGTGTTTTCGATTTTTTGGTAAGTAAATTATAGATTGCAACATATATCTGATCTTTCTAATGCTAATTGTGATTTAGCGAGAGAACAACTACGAGCCATACCCGCTGGACCAAGTGCGCCACATGGCCTATCAATTATGCTACTCTGTGAAATTTTTACATGACAATCGTTTAACGCATACAGATCTCAAGCCGGAGAACATACTGTTTGTCGATTCGGATTATTCGGCTCACTATAATCATAAGATTGTAAGTAAAGCAGTTGCACTTGAATCCACTTGAATCATACATTATAACACGCTTCTTTATCCAGCAGAACCGGGAGGTGCGACGTGTCAAGAACACGGACGTTCGTCTGATTGACTTCGGTTCGGCCACCTTCGATCATGAGCACCACAGCACAATTGTCTCGACGCGACATTATCGCGCGCCCGAGGTCATACTGGAGCTGGGCTGGTCACAGCCGTGCGATGTCTGGTCCATTGGGTAATAAGTTTATTAAATACTTGCATCATTCGCATATTTAATTAAACTTTAATTAAATATTCTTGATAGTTGCATCTTGTTTGAACTTTATCTGGGAATCACACTCTTCCAAACGCACGACAATCGCGAGCATCTGGCCATGATGGAGCGCATCTTGGGACAAATACCATATCGCATGGCACGGTAATACAATGCAGCTCATGCTTTCATATTCTAAAGCGCAGTTCCCTTCACCGAAATCGTCTAATGTGTAGCAACCATACTCTTTATAGCAAAACCAAAACAAAGTACTTCTACCATGGTAAGTTGGATTGGGATGAGAAGTCCAGTGCGGGACGCTATGTGCGCGACCACTGCAAGCCGTTGTTCCTGTGCCAACTGAGCGACAGCGAGGACCACTGCGAGCTGTTTGGCTTGATCAAGAAGATGCTGGAGTATGAGCCATCATCCCGCATCACGTTAGGTGAGACATCGACACTGCTTTATTATAATATAATATCAATTGTGATTTTTACTAACCGAATCTTCTTCTTTTCAATCTTACAGGTGAGGCCCTACGCCATCCCTTCTTTGACAGGCTGCAACCGCACCAGCGGGTTGGTGAAATGAACAGCAAGCAGCCCCTCTCGTCGGGCAGCAGCAGCCGCGAGCGATCGCACAGTCTGTCCAGATGAGAATTACAGCGATTTGGTTATTGTTGACAGGCAACGTTAATCAAGCGTCCAATCATGCAAACATACACAACAACAACAACAAAAACACAACGCGACAACAGACGTCCAGGGACAGGAACGTCGTCCTGGAACAGCAGAATCGGAGAGCAAGCGCAGCGACCACAACGGCGAACCCTATTTTAAGTGCTAAAAGTCTTTAACTTCTTAGTTTTGTTAACTTGACTTGTATAGAGATGTTTCTTATACAAAAATCCTACACTGTTTTCTCATATGCAGACATACATATTATACCCATATTAGCATGCATGCGCACGTTGCTGTGCATCATTCAGAGCTGTGTAGCGCCACGATTGCGCCTGTGCATTGTATCATACCCGCCAATAGTGTTTGTTTTGTAATGATAACCAAATCGTGTATAATATTGATAGTGCGGTGCGTCGTCTCCCCCCCTCCACACCCCAACACCGACACTGCTTGGAAATGAACCAATCAACCATCCAACCAACCAACCTAATTGTAAATGTCATTGAAATGTGCACACCTCGAGATGGAAGCAGCACAACGACTGCAATGATTAAACGAAGATATACAATTGTAAATTTAAAATAAGAAGTCAGTCGCTAACGCGCTAGTTGAAATGCATATGCATCCCCATCAGCAGCACCCACCCTGTCATTGGGATCTCGACTAAGTTGTAATTAATTAATACAAAAATGTACACCATTTACCATTTCGAGAGCGTGATCTGTAAGCTAATTGCAAGCCATTATATCACTCGTACCCCACTCGTAACCACACTCCATTCATGTACCGATGTACATATGTAAGTGTAAAGAGCAATTGTTATGTCTCCCCCCCTCCCGTCCCGTATGCATATACAGCGTTTTGCCTTCGCAGCGCATTTTTGTAAATTCGGTAGCAGACCAGGGCCCAGAGTCATTTCTCTTAGATTACGAGATGTTTTCAGATGTGTAGAATTATCGCGCCAATCCCTTTTGTTCGTTTTCGTTCTATTATCGAATATCGAAAAATCAACACATACATTTATCCATTACATGCTATAATATCGTATGGACCCTAGAGAGAGTATATGTATATCCATATACTAAACATACTTAATTCAAATGATTGTGAGTTAGTTTAATATTACATAAATATTAATTATAAATTACATTATTTGCAATTTAACCAGATCACCAGCCTATAAGATATAAAAAACCAATATTGTCAAGTTACTACAAATTGAAATAAATCTTTACAAAAACAACAATCTATTATTTATCCACATACAAAATTTCTGGATCGTATTTAATCAACTCATCCTGACTAGATCGAGCGTTTTATAGGCGAGAAAAAAAACGCATTTTTTTAATTCAGCGAAGGACCTACATTCCGGAGATCGCGAGGATCCAGACTGGCCATTGGCATCAACCAGTCATCTGATAAAATGTTTCCCCCGATCACAAAAAGCCGTGACACAGGCAATATCCTTATTGTCATTGATGCTTCCAATCGATCGGGAACGTTTCTGTGATCAGATGAGCTATAGCGGAGTTAAAGCGATTTAATCGGCTTAAAAATAGCGTGCAGAGTCCCCACAATGAGCGGTAACTAACCTAATTTAGCTCCAGCAGCGGCGTCGATCTAAGCTAGATTTAGTTCAAGAAATCACCGATGATCACGGAGGCGCCACTGTGCAACAACAAGCCAGTTTTATTTTCTTGTGTTCTCCGTTATGTGTGGGCTAATCTGGGCGTGATATGGCTGCGATGTGATTACTGACAAAAGAATCCTTGAGTTGACAGAGTCCTTATTTAGGATCGAAGGTATATGCTCCAGTGATGTACATATATATTTTTCTCCCCCAGCTTTGTTGGCTGCATAGCAGCAAGCTTTTATAGTTTCTGATAGTTTCAAAACGGCCACGGCATATAGTTTTAATATTTTCAAATCAACCAGTTGACATTTTCATAGCAGCCAAAAATAATTAACCATTTCGTTCTTTTGTTTTTCCATTTATTAATTTATTTGTTTTTGTGGTTCCGCTAAGTGTGAATTCGTTTCTTGCATTTTGTTGTACAATTATAATTTTACAATAGTTTCAACTAAATAAATAATAACAATTTATAAATATAATTTCTCTTTATTTGCTTCTTTTCGCGATTTGCTCAGTGTGGTGTGTGTGGTTGTGGTGTGGTGTGCTTGCATTTGCGTACGACATAAATAATTTGTTGTTTGTTGTGTTTACCGAGCACAAATATGCATGTAGATGAGAAACAGGAGCTGCTTTTGATTCGTTCGTTATTTGTTTTTGTATGGATCTGTTTAGTAAAGCCAAAGTACATAATTGAGTAATTGTTGGTTATCCAGTGTTGAACTTAGTGGCTAAATGTCGTCTTAGGCTACCTATTTATAAAAATAATGGTTAGGTCTACAAATTGCAACGAAAACAAGAACCTATATATGAACCTAAGATCTATACGCAATAAATAAATACTTAACATGTACATCTGCTATGGATAGGGATATATATATATATATGTATATACAAAACAACTTAAATTCTGCGCCGTAGCGCTGTCTAAAAAGCAACAAAATCTATCGCTTGATGCATTATTGTCTATTTCAAATGTGTGGCAGCGCCGCCCGGTGACGCAACTAAGCAGGGACTCCTGTGGGTCTGTTAAACAATAGAAAACAACCAACTCCAAAAGCGACACTCTGTCTCAAGCTGAGCCAGAGGAAGACATCTAACTAAACTGTTTTCCTACTTGTACATAGATACACATTCATATGGAGTAAGTAAATATATACTAAGTATACGGCCAGGCCAGGCCAAGCCGACCTCCTACTTCCCCCTACTTATGCCCAATAACGAGCGTATAGTTCGCTGTGCTCACTGTCGACGACAACGCCGACAGCGCTGGTCATTTGGCCAGCTTCAGGATCTCCGTCCTGCCACCAGCAGCAAGTTCGGATCCTCCGCTGGCAGTCACTGTCGTGACTGTTGTTCCGGCTGTTCCCATTCCCACAGAAGCGGATGGTGGAGCGGGCGCAATGCGTATGGGCTTGGCTCGCTGCTGCTGATTGAAGAGGCCACTCAGAGTGGCCGCTGTGCTGGCGGTCAGCACCATGCTGCTGGCTCCACTTGTGTTGGCCTGCTGCCGCTTGCTCCGCGCCAGTCCATTTATTTTGTTGTTCGTTGAAGAGGGCTGTGGGTGCGATTGCTGAATTACTGCTACTGCTGCTGCTGCTGCTGGTCCTGCTGCCGGAGGAGAAGCAGCGGATGAGGATGCTGCTGCCGCTGTGGATACGGATGTGGGTGTCGAGGAGGCTGAAATGTTATCCAACTCAGTCATTGCTTCTTGTATAGCCCGCTCGAGTTGCGAGTTCAGTTTGCGGCTCCTTTGTGGTTTGATGATGGTTGGGAAGTGGAGTGGAGTGTTGTGTGTGTGGTTTTGGAGTTTGGGTTTTGGGTTGTGTTTTTATATATATAAATTTTTTATTTTTTTTTACGAGTTACGGGTGTCGAGTGGTCGTGATGATGATGTTGAGATGGTTATGCATATAGACACACACACACACGCACGCATTGAGCACACAGAGTTATACACGTTGGGGTTGGCAGGGCAGGATATAATTTTGGTTCAGGTTCAGCGCATATCAAAAAAAGAAACGAGAATATTAATTAGCAAATTAAAAGTCAAATACAAAGAGTACAGTAAATCAAATATAAATTAATTAAAAATGCTAAAAATAACAAAAGTCTATCTACTTATCCGAGGCTAAATCAATTCTCAAATAAAAAAACTACAAAAGTATCTGAACAAAAAAAAATAGATACAAATTGCTAGAACTCTAAATGGCAAATGGCAAAATAAAACTCTTGCTATAAATCTATAAAAAGTATAAAAATTGCATTCATATAAAGGAAATATATATCAAAAATATTATACGTATATTCATTCTACTTCGAATAATGTTCTAGTCTACGGTGCTGTGGTCCTCTGGTGATCCCTAATTCTTCTTTCAATCCCCTTAGTTCCCCCCTTCTGAGTTGTGTTCTCCCACCCACTCAACCGGATGGATGCTCACTTTCTGGTATCCTTTTGGGCCTTGTGATGCGCCTCCAGACCCTCGGAGAGACTTTGCAACGAGTTGACCGGAATCAGTTCGGAGGTGGAGCGGCCACCGCCGCCGAACCACTGCACCCAGACGTGATCGAACTGCTGCGATGGCGTGCACACGCCGTCGGGCATCTTGACGATCTTGCCGGGCCAGGCGGGATGGCCCCGCGCCGGACCCCAAATCAGTTCGCCAATTGCAAACGATCGAGGCGGCATCAACGAAGTGGTAGTGGAAGTGTTGCATGTGCCACGGCCAGAGCTGCGCTGTGGACGGCGCGATCGTTTCGTTGGTGTGGTCTTGGTCTTGCTCTTGGCCTCCGGCATCGTGGTGGAGGATGTAGCACCTGTTGTTGTTGCTGCTGTTGCTGCTGCTGCTGACAGGAGCTGCGTTGTGCTGGGCGACTCTACGAAAGGCACACAGAGGCACATAGAGACTTGGGCATGGGTGGACATGGGGCTAAATGAAGAGGCGATGCCGGCACCAGAGGAGTAGGAGGAGGAATATTACAAGCAGGCAGAGCGCAGAGAATTAAAAGCGGTACAAGGCTGGTCATGCAGTGGTCATGGCGCCGAGTGGCGTCAGTGCTGTGTGGATGGTTAGTGTGTTGTGGTGGATGCAGTTAGTGCTGGACATTAGAGGTGCGCTGCTTACGGCGGCCTTACCCTGGTAATCAATGTTAACTACTTTGTGGCTATGGAGGAAGGTGCTGGTGCTGGTGTTGTTGTTGTTATGGTGGCTGTTGTTGTTGTTGTAGTGCTGCCCGACTGGCGGCTGTCGGAGGTGCATGAGCGTTGGGCGATGGCCCTGTCCCCCCGCCGCCACATGAGTGGAGCCAGTGGACGACGACGATGATGATGACGATGTAATGGACATGGACATGGGCATGGAAGCGGATGTGGTGTTCGAATTGGAGCTGGAGTTGGCCAGTCGCATACCTTGCCCCATCAGGCTCATCCCGTTCTCGGCCTGCGTCGCCTGCGATGTGATGTGTATCCGTCGAATCTTTGGCTCCGAATGCTTGTACATCCCACTTGGCTGCGTGAACAGATTGCTGCTGTTGCTGTTGCCGAAACCTAAAAGAAAAGAGTGAATCCATGATTAGATAATGCCTGCCACATGAATGATCAGCAGCTGTACTCACTCCGCTCACAATCTGTGGAAGATGGCGACTGCCGACTCTCGACACTCAGCGGGGAGACAGCGGCATCCGGTTCCGAGCTGGAGACGCATTGCACCTGCCACAAAAAGATTGTTAAATAATGATTCCAGATAGAGAGAGAGATCACCATAGAGGAGAGGAGCCACAAACCATATCACTGCCAGTGCTCCGATGGCTGGGAGGTCGCTCCGGACTGCGTGGACTGCATGTGGTGGTGTCTGGCGGACTGGCCGCCGTTCCCTGGCGACCCATCGAGGAGTCCGTCGTCAGATACGTGGTGGCCTGTGCCTGCTGCAGACTGATCTGCTGTGCCTGCTGCTGCTGTTGCTGCTGCTGCTGCGATGGCTGCTGCTGCTGGATCTGAATGGTGGTTGTCGTGGGACTCGCCGACACGAAAGTGGAGCCGCCACCCTGCTGTCCCGTGGGCATCACCAGACCCATGGGCGTGGAGTATATCTGGCCAATGGGACTCAACTGCCCGTTGGCCCCCACAATGTACTGCTGGCCGCCGGCGCCGGGCGAGATGAAGGACGGCTTGCTCTGTGGTGACGGAGTGCGCAGCATCACGGGCCCCTGGGGCGTCATCAGGCTGGTTGTGGGCATGTTCTGGATCTGCAGCAGGGTGGCGTCTGGGGCCATTACCAGGCCCGCGGGCATCAGCACCTGCTGCCCGATGAGGTTCACCTGCTGCAGGATCTGGCCGTTCTGCAGCAGCAGCTGCTGCGTCTGCTGCGGAGCTGACGAATTGGCCTTGTTCACCACGATGCCCTGGATGCCGGGACTCAGCTGGAACTGCTGCTGGAACTGTGGTGCCAGATGCAGCCGCTGCCGCCGCAGCTGCCGCCTGCTGATGGAGCAGGCCGGGCGCCTGGCTGGGGATGCTGGGCGAGATCTGTGGGGAGAGCGTCTTGGCGGGGGATCCACCACTCGGCGGTGGCGGCGTATGGCACACGGAACTCTTGCGTTTGCGCGGCCTCCGCTTGGCCTCCGGCGAGCTGATGATCAGCGTCTGACCATGCGGTGGCACTGCACCCGGATGTGGCATGGCCAGCACTTGCTCCAGGTGCTGCTGCTGCTGTGGATGATGCTGCTGCTGCTGCTGGTGGACGATGTAGCCGCCGTTGGGAAGTGTGTTGAGCAACACGGTCTGGCCACCTGCGCCTGCTCCTCCCCCTGAACTCTGTCCCGCCTGCGAGGTGATGATCTGGTGGTGCAACAGCTTGCCCCCGGAGTTGAGTATGACCGTGTTGCTGCTGCCGCTGCTGGATGTGGCTGCCCCCACTGACGAGGGTTGGCTCACAATGTAGCCGCCGCCCGACTGCGGATGCAGTTCCTGGTGGTGCTGCTGCTGCTGGATGATACTCGCGCGATGGTGATGCTGCTGCAGATGCGGATTCCCCTGCTTGCTGGGCTGTGGCCCTGGGATGACCAGCAGCTGTCCGGAGGAGGTCATTATCAGCTGACTGCCGCCATTCGTGGCGCCTGCCATTTGTCCGGCCATCGCTTGGAGCTGCGCCATTCCGGCCTGGGAGCTACTCAGCGTGGTGATCGGTCGCCCCGTGATCCCAGTGCCCGCCGTGGTGGTCACAATGCTGCGCGTCATCGTGGCCACTGCATTGCTGCTGGCCACAGCCAGCCTCTGTCCGGCAAGGGTCTGCTGGTTCTGCTGCTGCTGCTGGCGCATCACACGCAGCTGTGGAGCGCAAGTGGTAACCTGTCCCTGTACTTGGCCTTGGGTACGCATTTGCAAGATCTGCGGCTGAGGCTGTTGCTGCTGCGGCTTTGGTGATGGCGAGGGCGTGCTCTTGCCCGAATCCAGCAGTGAGTCTGTGGGCGAGGACAAGCTCTGCCTGGGACTCTCGTGGCTGGTGGAGATGGCACCCACTTGCTCGGGCCGCTTCTCCACGGCATCCTGCAGCACTGCCGCACTGCTCGAGACGGGCGACTCCTGGGGTGGTGGCACTACCGTGACGCTGGTGATCTGTGGCTTCTGCGGCCGCGCAAAGGCCTGCGTATCCACCTGCAATGTGCGCTGTCCGGTATTCACATTGGAGGACACATTGGCTCCCACCGATTCCGCTTCCCACTTGCCGCCAAACACCGACAGCCGTCGTATCCTCTGGCGCTGTATCTGGAGTTGCTGAAGTTGCTGTTGTTGCTGCTGCTGCTGCTGCTGCTGCTGCTGGGAGCTGTGCACAATGGGCTCCTGTGGCAGGGCTCTGGCCGTGGATGTGGCCGACACTGTCACGGTTTTGGCTCCCGTATCCAGGCCCCCACCCAGCGTATTGTGCAGCAGGACTGTCTGCTGCTGCATATAACCGGCGGGATCGTCCTTGAAGTTGGGTTGCTGCTGTTGCTGCTGCTGCTGTTGCTGTTGCTGCTGCTGCTGCAACAGGGATGGTGCTGCGGGTGGAGGCAACGTTACGGGTAGAGGCAGGGAAGAAGGTGTTGCTGCTGCTGTGGCTGCTGCTGGCGTCTGCTTTATCACATGTCCTCCGGCTGAGCGCTTAGGGACTCCAATTCCAACTCCAGCTCCAGCTCCTCCTATTCCTATTCCGGCTAATGCTTGACTAGTTTGCATTACAGTCGTGGGCGTGGGTGTGGGTGTGGACGTGGCCATTCCATAGGCATGGTTCCGTGCGGGTAATTTGTTATTGCCGTATTTGTGGCAATCAGCTTCTGGAAATGGAGCAACAAATTGAAAAGGCAAAGTCAGTGAAAGGTCAAGACAACATCCTCTCTTTGGTTATGCAAAGCGCGTCGCGTCCTTAAAGTGCCCGCAACGTGTCCCCTGCGTGTGCCACAAAACAGCCACCCGCCCACCGCACACACCTTTCCTCTAGAGGAGCTGAAAGCAGCAGAAGGATGCCAAGCGGATGCGGCTGGGTCTGGGGCTGGGGCTGGAGGGCAGAATGACGACCCGAATAAAATCAAAACACACACACCCACACACACAAAACGTGCTGCTGCGAAAGTCAGATGAAAGTAAAGGGTTTACCGGGTAGTGGGGACACTCGTGGGGGGCGGCTCCAGTGGTTTTTTAAGCAGCGGTGAGGATATAATGAAGGACTTATAATTAAACAGCAAAAAAAAAAAGGACCAGCCCAGCCACTCGACCAATTTACTGACTGCCCTCCTTCCTTCCATTCATCCAAATGCAAAAATGAACCCGAACAAGAAAATAGCTACCTTCAAAATCCGAAACTTTTGATACCCTGGCAGGCACATATGTATGTACATACTGATGTACTCGTACATATATGTATAGCTCTTATTTGTAATTGAACTGAATTTTCCAACGTTCATACAACAACAACAAAACTTTCTTGATTGCTGCTTTGGGCACTTCTTTGCATCGAAATAAAGGATTAAGGATTCAAATGTCATGGCATGTGGCAATGACTAGTGATATATACTTTGTATACTCTCTGCGCGGCAAGTATCTGTACTATTTTAAATGATATATGTAACTAAGGGCACTGCCAGCCACTGCCCAAAGTTTATCCGCCTTTTGCCGAAATACAAAGCTTGCAAAAAACAAAAAAAAAATAAACCAACACCCTGCTGAATCTGTGAGCCCAGCGAAACCCAGCCGAAAACCACAGAAAATTTAAATTCATTTGGCAGTAAGCTCGCGAGGGGGAAAGATTTTTAGCAAATACTTGCCACACACCCCACTCCCCTGCCCCCCAGTGAGGACACCCACGGAGCGCACGGACAGACCACAGCTCCTGACCAACTTCTCCGCCACTCAACTCCTGCCCCTTCCTCTGCCCCTGCCCTCTTCAATCCTGCAGCAATGCCACGCGAAAATTTTCTAAATCGTGCAAAACTTTTGCTTTGTGCGGCGTTTTTAATGCGACGCTGATTGGCCCTCGCCATCGCCCACACCCATCCATCCATGGGCCATTCCGTGGACGAAGGACCCGCCTGCAATTGCCTGCTGCATACATTGTGGGTAGTGGTGGTGGGGGCGGCGGGAAAGGCGTGGCTGGTAGGCGGTTCGAAATGGACGCGCTCTCGGCTAAACTTTTGCCATCAAGTCCCTTTTGTTTCAATTAACCTTTTCATTTGAAAGTTTTTAACAATGTTTGCCGAATGTTTGGCCAACTGCTCAACGTTCCATCCTCTCCTCACTCTCTCTCTCTCTCTGTCTCTGTCTCCCTTGTTCCCTGCCACACCTCCTCTGTCTGTTGCAAATGTGGCAAGAAGGTGAATGGTGGCTATGTGTTGGTGTTGGTGCTGGGTGTCGTGTCGCAACCCTTTTCCCGAAATTGGCAACAGTTTTGCAGTTGTTTTCCTTTTTCATCCGGCAAATATCTCAAATGGAAATCAAATTGCTTTGAATTGCTGGAAGAAAAAGCCTTTCAGGAATGCTGTATCCCCCCCGCCCCACAGGGCTGCAGCCACGATAAGGACGGAGATTCCCCACCCGGATGCAAAAGAGAGCAGTGTCAATAGGAACTTTTGTTGTGAAAGCTTCTGGCATGGTTGAATGGATGATTGAAAGGAGATGGTAGCATCGCAGCATTCCATTGAAATAATGAACGAATTGAGGGTACCCTTTAGCCTCACTAAAGGTATAGGTACCCTCCACAGAGGAAAGAAAGAGAGGTCCTAGTCCCCTTTTGTGGCGGCCCAAATCCCCCCCCACAAAACCCCCCTCCAACCGAAAACTGCCCAAAAACTGCCTGAGGCACTTCTCAAGTGCAAATGTTTTCGAGTCTTTAATAAAAATAACATTTATTTAAGGCTTAAAGCGGCTTAAATAATAACAGCCGAAACAGGACTGGAGGGGAGTGTAGGGGGGAAACAAACATCCGAGAAATGTCTTTGAGTAACGCGTTGGTTTGGCGGAACGCGTCAAGTTCCTTTGTCCCTTTCTGGTGCCAAACAAAACAGCAGGGAAAATCAAAACAGGCTAAAGGAAAAACAAACAAGGGGCAAAGGCACAGGAGGCAAGGAGTTGGGCGTATAGCCAGGAGACAAACAGGGAAGCATCCGAAATGCACTTCCTGTCGTGTGGGAGGGACGCCTGCCACTTCCCGTTGCCTGCGCCCCAAAAGCTGTCTTAAGCTTGTTGAACTCTCGCTACCGCTCCTGCTCCTGCTGCTACTGCTCCTGCTGCTCGTGTGTGTTGTTTGCTGCTGCCCTGCTGCTCTTCAGTTCTCTCCCTGTATCTCTTTCTGTTACTCTCTCGTTCTCAGTTTTCCCCCATGTTTGTTTCCCAGTGTGCATTTTCACTTTATCATTGTCTAGGCATCGTTTTTCACTTGGCAGTAGCAGCAGCAGCAGCAGCCACATCCAACATTGAGCACCTTTTCCACTTGGATCTGTTTGCACTTCCACACACACACACCACACACATACCGAAATGTGTATACATATGTATGGGTATGCTCCATTTTCCCCTTTGGTTTTGCTCTACGGTCTATGGCTGGCTTTTCCTTGGCCTAGCCTTCCGTGCACTTTTCGCACGTATCTACACTAGTTTTCCTTTGCCCTGACCTCATCCTTTCACTGCACCCTTCTACCCGTGCACCCCACTTCTACATGCTGGCATCGTCTTCGTCCTGTTCATCGTCGTTGCGCCGTCGTGTTCTTTTTTTTTTTGTATCCTTGCAGTTGCGAAAAAATGCAGGCAGGCAGGCAGCCGGCAGCGCACTCACTTTTTTTTCTATAGCATACTTTTGTGCTGCCCGGGAAAAACGCTCGCCCGCAGGGGAGCTCTCTGACAGCCCAGGGTTGCCATGGCGCACCAAATAAATGACTAAGGCGTCTCTGGTCTCTGGTCTGTTCTGTCATTCCGTTGGGGCCATCAAAAGGAAAAGTCATTGCCAAGCAAATCATTTCATTTGAGTGGAGCGCCGCCGCGCTGGGAGAGATTTATCTTTTAAATTTATTTAATCTACTTTTTGCAGCTTTACCATGGCTTTAGTACTGTTCGGGCAAATCGTCTGGCAACCCTGGCTGGCTGTTGCCAATCCTCAAATATTGTCGTTTCGGCTTTCATCGTTCGTCGTTGGTGTTTGTCGTCGCTTAACATTGATTAAGTTGGAAATCTGTTGGTTGGGGGACAGTACTACTACTACCTATCTGACATGGACAGGGGTTCTATATACTCTACACTCGTATTTCTTTTGGTCTACATTTATATATATACATATATATATGTATATGTATGTACAATATGTATTTGTTCACCTTTGTTGGCCATTTCAGGTGTGGTTGTTATTGTTGCATGGACTGTTGCTGCCGTTGCAGCCGTTGTCGTCGTCGCCGTCGTTCTCATCAGCGTTGAGAACACATCACTGACAGCTGCTGGCCCAGATATGGATACAGATACGGATACGGCGGGCAGCGTATTTGTCGTTGTCGTCGTCGCATCTTTGACACTCTGCTGCTGCTGTTGCTGCTGCTTCTGAGATTCAAGAAATCGCCGCTGGTGCAGGCAAGGTGTCGTCGTCGCTGTTGCTGATTCAACTGTGGCTGCAGCAACTGTTGGCAGCTTCAGTGGCATGTTGGGCACCTGAAACAAAGCATCAAATTGCTTTAATTAGTATAAATGCTGTGCAAAAATCAAATTAGGCGCCGCCGCCACAGCACTGACCGCCGCTTGATGTCAAATCGAGAATTTAATTAAGCCCCTGAGCCCCTTCTCCCTGAATGGAATGCCACAAACACACAACACAGACACACACACATATCAATCCAATATCCACTCAAAATGTAAACATTTTAACACTGAGGGTTTAGAGCGGAGTGTGGGGGAGTCGCTGTTCGCCCCCATTAAATTTGCATAGAAAACGTGAGTCGCAATTGCAAACACAATTATTTAAGCGCCGACGATTCCTGGTTCTCATTTTGCATACCCACCGAGTACGGCGTATGCCTCTAATCGTTTTTCAATATATTCTCAAGCTTACATTATTTTCCACCCCTTTTTGAAGATGCATTGAGTGAGTATGTGCTGTACTACTTGCCGTTGATTGACATTTAATTTAATTTCCCATAAACACTTTCTCAATTAAGTTACAAATTGTTTTATCTCAAATCTTTTAATTGCTTTTATCGTTCATTTATTATCTGAAATTCCCCTTTACCATTTTCGTATACATATTCTATAGATCTTGTTTTCTAATGCACATTTTTTCACATCTATCTACGAGTATATTTCTATTATATTCAATGATTGGCCGTAATTGAAATCGTACACTTTTCTCCGAACAAATTATATTTATTAAATTATTTTTCTATAATTTTCGATAATTGCCATTGCCGTTGCCATGAAAAATTCAATTTAATCCCAAAACTCGATGTCTCTTCCTTTTCATAAACTTTAATTGGATTTGGAAAAGGGTTTTTTTTACCCTGTTCTTTTTTTATCCTCGCTACATATACATACATATGTATTTATCGGATGTAATTTCAATTGAAATTATCCCCAATTTGCAGACAATTTTTATTCAATTTAGTTTCGAAAAAGGGTTTCTAATGGAAGGGCTAGTTGGGGGGGCATTCCGCATCCCCTTCCTTATGTCCTCAATGTTTCCCCTCTAATTTGCAACAATTGAAATCAGATACGATTCCACACTGTAATTTCCTGCTGCGGGGCAGGCATCCACATCCACTCTGGTATTCCCTTTAATCATGACCCCCCATCGATGATGTTTTTCCTGTAATTTGCATTTAATGAAATTCGATACAAATTCGCTCAAATTTCGAATTGTTGGCATATCCAAAATACTTGCCAATGATTAGGCGGGTACCCTTTTCCATGGGGTTGCCGGCCATCGTCCTACAATCCAATGTGCTTTATAATTTGCGGCAAAAATCTGATACCATTCCACCCTTCTCCCTGTATTTGTATTTCCATTTTCAAAGGACGAGGGTTATTTAAGGGCTTTATTTCTCCTGGACTCGACCTTGGCGCCCCGGGGCTTAGTCGCTGTCCAATTAGCATTTTGGAAACGCAGTGGAGTCCCCGCCGCACCATATCCGAGTGATTGTACTCCAATGTGTAATCCAATCAAATGCACCAGCAGATCCATCATTATCGGGGCTGAGCAGATCAAAAGACACTCCCTCCCTCGCACTTGCCATGGCAGCGCCATGCCACCATGCACCTGCTGTAAACGCACGGAATTTATGCAAATGAATCGCCGGCAAAAGGTTTCGATTTGCACGCCTCCGCGTGAAACCCGCCCCCCTTCTATGGATGATGATGGACGAGGCAGCGCCATCGAGAAACGACGACGACCCTTTTGGGGAAATGGCCACTTTTTGCGGCACTACGAATCAGTGGCAGGAGGAGAAGTGGAGTGGGGTAGAGTGGTTGTGGCTCACTGGCTCTCTGACAATTGCTTCATTGGCTGGCCAAGCGCTGGATAAACGTGTCGCAACCATTTTGGGTCAACAATTTGTACCGATGCGAGCCTTTTAGGAGACGGAGTACCACCGCATGCATTCCACAGACCCAAGTTGGTTATTAAACATTAAAATGTTTCACTGACTTCTTTTTTATGGGAGGAAAAACCCAGCAGAGCGAACAGAGCGAACCAAAGGAACGGCCAAAGCAATTGGAGAAGGCGAGGCAATAAAATGGTTCAAGTACCAGCTGGATGAAAGCCCTGGGGCATGGGGCATGTAGCAGTAGCAGGAGCAGAAGCAGGAGTAGAGACTGCCCCCAGAGGGAGATCTGGTAACTCAAGTGCTGAAATTAAATGAATCATTGGCCAGTAAGTAGAAGATAATGAAACGTGAAACTGTAGCTGCTGCTGGAGAGTAATGAAATATCTCGAGGGCATCTCTCAAGGTAATCGTTTGATGGGAGGGGAGCCACGAGCTCCCACTAGTAGTGCCTCTCTGTGGAGTCTCTCCCTCTCTCTCTACCTCCCTGCCGTGATTTGAGAGGCAATTAATTTATATTCATTTCTGAAATTTATTAATTGGCCCACGCCTCAACAACGACTAGAAAATAAACCCATTAGGATGCTGATCCCCGGATAGTATCCCCAACCCAATCGCATCCACTTGCAGGAGGCAGGAGGTAGTCTCATAAACGACTAAGCTTTTGATTCCTGGTCCCCTCTTCAGAATCTAAAGCTTTGCTTTCATATTGTGTTGCTTTTGTTGCACAGCCTCAAGTGCTGCTGTTGCTTTTGACTTTACTGTAGCTGTAGCTGTTGCCGTTTCTGTTGCCATGGCTTTGGTTGCCACTTAGTCAAAGGCAGTTGCCACACAGAAAAGCAAACATAATTTCAACTTTTGAAATGCAATAAAACCGCATCTCATCCCACACAGCCCCAGACACAGTATTTCTCCCCCTGCTTCTACTGCCCTTCCTCCTCGTAGCATAGGAAAAGCTAACAAATGTATGTAGAACATTTGCATTTGCCAACTGGGTCGTCGTCGTCGTCGCCGTCATCCTCATCGTTGAGGCGTGGAGGGACACCTCCCCTTCTATCGTGTCGTGTCTCTGGGCTTTGTAAACTATATAAAAAATAATAAATAAAATCAGAGGGAGAAATATGTGTATGTACTACGCAACTGCAAACTGCAATCAAATGTTGCCATGGCATCAGGGCCCCAAGCTCTCTCGGGTATCTGCTGTATCTGTATCTGTATATATCTGTGTATCTGTTGTATCCCCTGCTCTCCCGTCCCATGCATTCGGTTGGCCATTCAATGCGAGAGCATTCAAACATAATATCCAAATTTAATTGGCATTTAATGGAAAAATAATTAAGCAAAAGCTGTGCATGTTCTCGACTGCCACTGACAGCAGCAGCAGCACCAGCAGCAGAAATTGCAATGGCAGCAGTAATAATGGTTGATAGACTAGATGATGACTCCTTTCAGACATCTAACAGATGAATAGATATAGAATGATGGAGAGATGGGGATGGAGAGATGGGGATGGAGAGATGGGAATGGAGCGCTCTCAGAGCAGGAGGATAAAACGAGCAGGTGACCAACAAAAATTAAATTATAAACAAGAGTAAATAAATATCAGACCCGAAATTGTTTAGCAATAATCGATAAGTCGATTAAAAATCAAGTTTAAATGACCAAAACTCGATAAAAGTTATCAAACAAGTTTACAATATCAACAATAAATTGATTGGACAGTTCTACAATCGATTAATCGAATAAAAATTACAAAATTACAGAACATCGATTATAAATTGATTAAAATGTAAAAAAAATCGATAATTCAATGTTAGAGACTGAACCATTTATTTGATATATTTGAAGGAATAAATGCTGCAATCAGTTCTGGGGAAAAGTGTATTTTCACTGCTTGAATTTTATGTTTTTTAATTATTTTCAGTTAGAGCCAACTGCTTGCATTTAAGTGGAGGCTCACAAAGCAACTTATGTTTATTTTGTTTATACAATAATTACGCTATTAAATGCCAAATTATGATGTATGATGCATGATGCATGCTGCAGGAATTATTCCCTCACCCTTAATTAAAACTGTCACATTTTGTGGACCAAACCGAGCATATCCTTTCGTGACGTGACCCTTTGGCAGAACCCACCAAAATGGTTATTAGCCCAGAAGGCAGGAGAGACCAGCGAAGCGTTGAAGCGACGCGTTGACACTCTCCACCAAAGCGTGCGGCTAATGAATACCAACAAACAAACAGAAAAATACATTCACATTAAACGATATACATACATGCATATGTACATATGTATAGTCGTGTTGTTTATATAATGGATAGTTATAAATGAACATAGTTGCCGCATTTACATATATAAATGTAGGTATGTATATTCGATGTGTTTCATAGATGTGAAACATGTATTTTGCATATTTTTGATGTATTAACTGTTTTAGCCGCGGGCATGTGTATAGCAGGTGGGAGTTAAATAATGGGGGGGGGGGCTAAGGGGGTTGTCCAAACTGTGTAACACGCAACAAAATGCCAGTGAAAATACCAACAAACATTGCACTTTTCCATGCATAATTGTGAAAATTAAAACCCACTGTGCCGCCAGACAGTATGCAATGCCGTGCAATGCACACCCCCAGCCCCGTTGCGTGCATGTGTGTGTATGTACTGGGGGATGGTGGCCATGTGTCCAGGAGTTTTGCAGTGGGTGTAAGAGGAGGTTGAGGCCAGACCATAGACCGACCGACCAACCGACCGACCATATGCAAACGAGCTGGGCGGCGAGACTTATGCTTGGCTGTGGCTATGTGGCTCTGTGGCACTCTCCGGTGGTTGCAGTCGGGTTTCAGGTGTGAAGCGCATGCACAGGTGCATGAACGGTGTTGGTTTTCATTAACGTCATAATGCCCGACAGCTTTAATCCTTTGCCAAGACTAGGGGATGGACTGTCTCGGTCTTGCATGTGGTAGTGGGAGTGCCCGTGGTAGTAGAGCTCTCGGACACCGACATGGACATGGACACGGGGCACACGGGGCACCTCCTCCGGGCAATTGTGCGCGCACACAGGAACAGCAGAAACAACAGAAACAACGGGAACAGGAACGGAAACTTTGCGGCGCTGCCG